AGCACAGACAACGCAACCACAGTTTCGGCGGCGCGCACAGATCTTAGAAACGCCGCGCCTTAACCAATGACAGAGCAGCACATTGAGTAGCCTGTGTACAGAACCCCCTTGCCTCAGGAAAAGAGGAAGGAGGAGGGGGGGTGTACACAGGCGACCAATTTAGCACCGTCCATAAATTTAAATTCAGCAGTTTTAGACCGAATGAGGTTTCGTCGAGATTTTAAGGGAAAAATGCTGAAATGTGCGAAAAACAAGACTTTAACCAAATTACACTCCGCATTTCAGCAAGAGAGGATTTCAGTTATAAAGTAAGTGCACTGTAAATCAGAAAGATCTGTTTTAGCCCTAAAAATGGGGCCGTTTCGGTAAGTAAAAGACAGTCCTATTTTTGAATCTAATTTGGCTTCCTTAAATCAGGGCCAATACAGTCCAACTACCCAGGGTTGATTTGGACCCAATGGCTGAAATGGGCCCCAGCGTGGGCTTGAATATCCTTTAGACTGGGCTATTTTCACTTGAAATGTGTTAAATGACTTCAGGAGGGGCTTGATCAGACATCGGCCTGCAGGGCTGAACTGGCACTTTGAGGCTGAAACAGTTCTTTCTTATTTTCAGTGTGGTCATCATCTCTACACGATATGCCACTGTACGTAGCCACTACACACATTCTCAAAAGCTTTTATAAATTCTACTTTAATTTACCATTATTCAATAGCTACACTACATAACTTGCATAACTCTCTATCTACCATTGGCAACAAAATTAATTGAGACACTTTGCCCTAAAGGGCCTGTCTGACTTTTTGCCACCCTCTCGACACAATGCTGTGTTGCTGTTCAAGCTACTTGTAGAAAGCATAACACACCCCAACTTTGAATGGAGGGGACAGAGGAGAGGTGTGGATTGTTTTGTTCTCCGAAGTTACATCATTTGAGGAAAATGTCTCAACAATGTTGTCGCCGATCTTCTTCTGTAATGTAGTCTGAAATTAAGTGAAGCTAATTGAAGTCAGTTATAGATTACAGAATTTTCATTCGATTGGTAATATTTAAAATATTACCAATCAAGGAAGACCACATCATACCGTAAATACATCAAAAACTCTCCCACATTTCTTACCTTTTTGAGTGACCCTATTTCGTAATTTTTCCTCTGAGGTTTCTCGGCTGCCTTTTTCTTTTTAAGTTCCTCCTGTAACGGAAATTACATACACAATTATAAACAATTATTGGATGAGGTGCCTGTGATATTTGGAATAATCAAGGTCGAGGTACGTGTTATTAATTGAGCCGAAGGCTGAGGCAGAATAAGAATTATAGATTCTTTGTCTTGGCAACTGAATCACCTCCATAATCATTCACTAAAGGTAATGGATCACGCCGATGCCTATTTCCCTTTCGCTACGGTCGTTGCCATTTTTAACGGTCGACGCCACCATTGGTAAGATAGATGTAAAATATTTCCTGGATTAATTAAGTTACAATAAGACCAGTAATAACGGAGAGCACGCGGAGCAGAGCACTATGAGTAAGCAAATTTGGTTATCTATGCATCCGAGAAAATTTAGTAATCACGTGACCGTACGTGCTCCGTCCGAACCAAAGGTATATATATTTTTGCCGACAAGGTTCTTTCACAAACCTTTCAAAACTCTCTGTGTTTTAAGTGAGAGTAGATGGGATACGAGAATGAAGGAGACCACATTTAGTTTTTCTCTCACGGGCAGTTTTCTAGCCTGCGAATGCACCCTGCATTTAGCCCCGCCGATCCTCAAATCTGATTGGCTATCAATTGTACTGATTTCAGCACTAATAGGACTGTACGCGTCATGATGCGTGCGCTTAAATGGCTTTTTTTGTCACTGCTAGCAAAAAACTCTCGGAATTTCTCGTGCTTTGATTAAAAAAACCCTAAAAAGTCACAAATTTTGTTACAGTCATGATTAATTGGTAACAGAACTTCGTGTCCTCCAATTCGGTCTGTAATCATACTCGAGATTAAACAAATCGGGTTTATCACTCAGTCCTATTACCATTAGTTAGCTATGTAAGGTAGTGTTGCTTGCGGGTTCTTACTGTGAGCTTGGGTTACCTGTGGTCACAGGTAGAATAAAAGTAAAACTATCTGTCAAGGTGGTTACTTGGTTCAAGCACATTAAGTGCAAAAAGTGTACAAAGTGTACAACCATCTTACCTTTCTTTCCTTTAAACAAACATTAAGTCTACGCTGTTGATCCAGGTCATCTTTTAATCTACTCATTGATGCTCTAAGGTAGGCGATCTCTTCCCGACGATTTCGAACATCTATCTATGTTGTACAATACGACAAAATCAGAGTGAAAAATTCCAGTAAAAAAAAAGACAGCTTTATTGTAATCTGGTCAGGGATGTTCAAAGCTGGATTAAGATAACCCAGGGTAGGTAGGAAATTTGAATTCAGATACGAAGGCTTAAAAATCAAATTCAGTTTAATAAAATTCGCTTATAAATTGATGATTGGATGCTCTCAAAAGAATAGATAAAATTATTCGAAAAAATGCTTTTGATCAAAAGAAAAAGAAACCCGAATTAAAATTTAACCACGGTTCAGCGCTAATTGGCCTTCGAACAACTGGGCCCTACACATTAATCAATGAAAGGAATGAATCATACAATCCACTTCCTTATAACCCTTTATAGACATTATGGCAATAACTTCACGGCTTAACGCTAATGTCCTATGTCAGTAAGATCCTTAATGAAAACAGTCGTAAACAAAGAGTTTTTTTAGGTTAGGTGAATTTAACGTTGATCCCATTATTTCGCCTTCTCTTCCTACAAAGTTATATGAGATGATTGTGCCTGGGGTAATTTATTGGCGAAGCGAGCAGCAAAGCCGCTAGGGATTTTCACGAGCTAGTTCTTAATCTTCACGCGGCTCCACCGCCAAAAAACTACAGCAACTCCCGCTAATCCCGCCAGCTACGAAGGCTAAGGGATGCGGTAGAAACAGATGTTACATCATCTTATATTGAAGAGAAGGACACGTTCTACACAACTGCAACTAACAATATCCGTGCAACACGCCAACCTTAAGTCCTGTAGCTTCAGCCGTTTTCTGTCCTGCCACTGTCTGACTATTTCTGAAACGAAGTACAAAATAGTTCGTGTAATTCGACCACAAAAATCTTCACTTTTTCCATCTATTTATTTTATATAGGTGTGCACGTTTACCTTCCTGACATACTACCCTGACTTCTAAACGTTCACTGTCCTTTATTCTGCCATAACATCGAGTACTTATCGCGACGAGTCCGCTACGGGCGACCATCTTGGTTTCGAATGTACCGAGGGTCGGGTGGTGTCGGGTTTTAGCGGTGGTAGGAGGCAGGGGAGAAAAATAGAAATTTTTCTCGTCTCCTCCTAAACTTTTCCCCGCTCCCTAAGTAGATTTGTTACTCAACGGAAATCCCCAGGCCAGACCCAGTACAATTGAAACCAAGCTGGATGCCCCCAAGGGTAAGTACTCGATCTCGACGATCCTAATGAAAAATAGGGGCCTACGAACAAGTCTATAAATCAAGGAAAATAGAGGAACGAGGCCATGACGACAAGATGTAACAGGAGCTTTGTTTCTATCGTTTGAAATTCTCCTTTTATAACCGAGACCATTAAAAGACATAGGCGATGAGAATTATGGAATTGATCGCGGATTAATTCAGGATATTTGCCTGGGTTTTAACGTTCCAGAACAATTATGTGATGTTAGACTGTTAACATTCCACTGTTTTTTTCGTAAAATCGTCGAGATCGGGCGGCCATCTTGGTTTTAAATGTTCCGAGTCCAGCCTTGGGATCCGCGTGAAATCTACTTAAGGGGCGGGGACACCGAAGCCCGCCCCCTCGGTACATATGAGACCCAGACAGTCGCCCGTACCGGTAAGAGCTCGACCCTTAAGATCTTACGGAAAATAGGGGACTGTGAACGGTCTAATGTGATGTTAAATTAAGAGCATTTTTTTATAAGACATTTTATAACTGCAGCAGGATTAGCTCCGTCGGTAGAGCGCTTGACTGCAGAGCGGGATGACCACTCGGATGACCACGTAAATGGCGGTCCCGTATCCAGTAGGAGACGTAAAACTAGTGTCTCCAATTGTTACTTTCGTTCTAAATACATTGACACTCAAATAAAGTGCATTTCTTTATTTACTTATTTTGTTTCTTGTCTCTTTACCTTAGATGCACCAAGTCCTCTTCATAAGAACCCAGAAGCTGGACTTTTCTTTAATTCCATTCCATCGTTCATCTGTTGAATTTTAGTGACCATCAGCTCCACAGCCTGATATTCAAAGGGAAACAAATTAAAAGGAAAATTAAAACTTCATAGAAATCACTCAAAAGAATGGGTACAGAAGAAGGGAGCTCAGACATGAAACAAAACTAAAGCAAAACAATTAACTATCCCCTCACCCAGGAAATAGACGAAGAAAAACAATGAACCACTTAATTACAATATGTTGACTTCCGTGCTGATTCCTCTGCAAATGGGTTAAGGAAAATAACTTTCAACTAAGAAATTCAACTTCAATATCTCTTTTCTGTTGGCCTAGTGGAACTGAAATGATCTTCCAAAATATATCGCATAGGTTGAGGGCATGTTACGCCAACTGATTTTTATCACACGCTTGGAGCAGTCTGTTAACAACACAAATATTGCAGATATTACTCGAGGCGCTATTAACTGATTTTCAATTGGAGAGTAAAATGAGAGTTTTTTGGTCGGCCCAACCACAAGTAGAGCCGTCCTCAGCTCCTGCGCAAGCGTCCATTAAGAGAGCTTCGACTATTTCAGTGTCATTGGAATTTTTTTAGCGATTACGTGTTGTGGTATCTTCAGTACTTTTATGCTAGCATTGTGAAACAAAGACACATGTATATGTAACAGCATACACAGGTCGCATTTTTAAGCAGGAATTGAAACTCTACCTTGGTCCTTTTTAGTTCCAGTCTCTCTCTTTCCTCTACTGGGAGGTGCGCCATTGAGCGAAACTTGGTAACGCGTCTATTTCAAGCGGTGCAACAAGTGTTCGGGCCAACTTGAGATACTGCGACAAGAAAAAGCAGTTACAGTTAAAAAAGGCCAGGAAAAATAACGACCTACGCAACTGAAATATCTTGTTTCTTTGCGTGTTTGAAGGACAGAGGAGTGACGCGCTCAAATAAGATAAGATAAGATAAGATAAGATAATTTATTTAATGTCAGATACACAGGGGGTGGTCTCCCAATCCCCCGAGCCACGGGCTCATGATAAAAGTGTTTGACAATATAATAGAAAAATTAATTAATTAATATCTCAATAGCAACTAATAAAATTAAAAAAAATAATAACATCAATCAATAATAACGACGCAAGAATAGTCTTGCAGCCTCCAAAGTAATGGACTCGATTTCCGCCACTCTCTCAGTCCTCCCAGAGGAGCGCGGGCTAATTTTCCGAACAGCGTTTGGTACCGTGCCAGGCGTTCGAAAGGGAACGGTAGAGGGGACTACTGACGTGCGCACAAAAACGTGCGTGAAGGGCTGTAGTAATCTTGATGATTCATTTCCTTTTTCGTTCTTCCTTTTCATGGAACGAATTAGGTGTCTTTTAGTTTCTTTTACTTTAGAAAAAAAGATGAACCGACACTATCTTCTATCAATTAACATTGAAAGGTGAATCAATTTTCATGAAAGACAAAGACCATATTTCACCTTTATATCATATCATATCATATCATATCATATCATATTATAACATAGCATGTGAACTATTTGCAGTAAGGCACTCTTGACAGATAACCCCGTCTTCGTATTTAATTCTGCAAAAAGCTGCTAATAAGGCGCTCATGCCAAGGCGTTTTTTAACGGCGAATGATGACCGGAACGTACATTTATAAGCGTCAAGCCATTAATTTCGGTCGCTCAAAAACGCTTTTGCTCAAGCTCTTATACTCCTCACTAATTTTTCCGTATTTATATTAAAATCAACTCACCGTCTTTTCACTGAGATCTAATGCTTCCTTTGTTTTCTGGTGAGCGCCTTTTTCCAAATCGGTTTCAGCGAGACTGGCAGAAGCCTGCTCATGACGAACTCTAAGCTGTTACAAGGAAACAAATGTAAGGCATTTCGCAAAAGACTATCACGGCATGGAGAGCACGCTATAGCATTTCAACATGTAAACGTTCATTCGCAGAATAGTAAATTATTGAAATAAAAGGGGAAAGAAGGATCTATGACACACTCTTACAATGGCCCACGACAGTTTTAAGCCTATTTTCAGCCTCTTCAGTTTGCTAGATCATACGTGAGCTCTTTCAAGTGAGCAAAAATGATTATCTTTGTCATACAACAAAGTCTTGTGAAAGTATAGAGGTCAAATAATAGCAATCGTCAATTTTTGTGGCCAGTTGTTCTTTGTATTCAACCAGTTCAGTTCCCTTCTTAACCGTGTCCCGCTTTTGCCTTACTAACGCCTAGGAACAGTTATAAACACTAGTCTCAGGCTCTCAGTTGAGTTGCAACGATCGAATAGAAAAACTACGGTGAAAAAGGACATACAGAGCAAACGGTTTTTTCTCCTTATCCTTTTGCAGATGACATAACAAAGGCAGCATTTTCTCCTCAATGAAGACCACCACGAGTGTCGGTCCGGCCGGGGTTTGAAGCCGCGACGTCCCGCTCGGCAGACCGTCGTTAAGCCAACCGAGCTAATTAAGCGGCGGTTGGCAACTCGAGTGATCTTGAATCATATTATCCTGATCTAGACAGCACTCAAGATATTTTAAACATAATAATATGTGGGTTATTCATGATCTTATATCACCACCAATGAGGAATCTCACTAACAGAGTTGTATATCTTACAAATGTCACATACCTTTTGTTGTTCACTAAGTTTGTCTTCCCTGGAGTTAATCTCCTTTTGCTGTTCATCCACCAATGCAGACAGCTGCACGAGCTGTTTTCTTTGTTCTTCCAGCTCCGTGTCTTGCTCTAGTATTCTCTCCTCGTATTGTTCCAGTTTCTGTTTCTGTTTATCGCTTAACGCGCCGGCCATATCAGACATGCGTGCTGCAGCACCAGCCAGATCCCTTCTCAATGCTTGTACCACATCTCCTTGACTTTCAGCCTCTTTCCTAGCTTGGCCGCTTCGCGTCTTGAAAACAATCAATCTATATTTCAGGGATCTGGGTCCCAGCAGGCCACGTGCTTGTAAGTCCAGCCCCTCCCTTTTGTATTTCACTTATTTAGTTAACCTATTGGGATTCTTTTTAAATGTCACTTATTTTTATTCTTTTATAGACTGCGAGCAGTCTCTCTTTTCCTTCAGATTTAGTGAGGGGAGTGCACGCGCGCGAGAGCGTCGAGCGGCAGTTTTTCTCGACGGACCAATAAAAAAGAGAGACTGCTAGGTCTAATTCTTATATTCTCCAATTCGTAAGTAAACGATGTTACAAAAAAGAAGAAGAATTCATTTTTTTCTTGAAGGTCATCGAAGGAGACTAAAGGTGAAAAATATGTTTTTTGGAAAAAAGTGTTTAAAGGTACATCGCGGTCTTTAAAAGATCTTCTGTAGTCTGTGTTTTCACTGCAAAGTAACCACACGCGTCACCCATGCACGCGAGGGTGCAACTTCGTTTGCAATTGCCCTGACTGGGATAAGAACTGGACGGATTGTAAGGGAAATGGCGGACTGCAAGCAGTTGAAGTTGAATTGAGCGTTAGTCCACATTGGAGCAATTGAAAAATGTATTGTTATTAATAAATGCTGAATTTTATAAAGCAGTAAATCATAAAGACAATATACTTAAAAAGATGATACTTAAGGTATAGTTTGAGAGTGTGTAAGACCTGTAAAAGGCCATTTTCGAGTTGTCCAAGACTGTTTCAAAGCGAGGCTATGTGTGAAGCCACTGATATGAAAATGAGAGTTTTTCTCTCATGCACTAAAATAAAACACAGGGCGCTTCCATTTGTCAAAACTGACCGGCCAGCCCCTTCCCGTCGTAACGAGAATTTCACTTTTAATCGAAACTATCCAGCCAGATCAGTCAAATCCTGAATGGTATGTACGAAAAAGATGGTTTTTCAACAAAAACTCTTGGAAAAGCCGATTTCATTTTCAAACTGACTGGTCCTGCAATGGTCCGGCCGGCCAGTTCTGACAAATGGACTGAGCGCCCTTAGCTTCGTTTTGAAAGTGAGAGTTTTTGGAACTCGGAAATTGCTTGTGACTTCATTCCTTTATCATGAAATACCACAGCAACTGACATATCCGAAGACAACTTTTTTCAGGAGGTACTTTGCTTTGAACGCGTTAAAGGAAAATAGTATTTCGCTCCATTTACATACGGTCCTGCAGTAGCTGTTACCTTAGTAACAAGACCAGACGTTCCAGTTTGTAGACATCTGACTGCAGAGTGGCTTCCACGCTTGTCTGGGGCACAGTCTCCGTCTCGCCTGATCTCGTCTGGGGTTTAGGTTCTTTTCTGGGAGACTGAAGTCTAGAGGAGTTCATAGGATCTTTCTTAGGGGAGGAGGGTCGGGATGATTCTTTGCGCGGAGATGTCAGTCTGATTTTGCCTGCAAAAAATGATATCTTTTACTCTTCTGTCCATTAACTTACGTTAACCAATACGTCCTCATCTAGTGTTCGCATCCACTTTTTTGTTTTGTTTCATCAAACAAGCAGTAAACAAACAGAACACAAACATTTTCTTCGTACACAAACCTACTGGCCTGCCCCAGGCTCTCAGGTAGTAAGGATTACGCGTAAAGGTGGATTTCCACTGTCGCGTCATTTTTACGCGCGTAAATAAAATAGAGACAATGCATGGAAGTTCACGCGTAAACTTAAAAGTTGAACCTCGCTGAACTTTCACGTTTATGTGTAGCCGTTCATACATTGCCTCTATTTCATTTACGCGCGTAAATTTTACGTGCGTTCGCACGAAACAATAACGCGACAGTGGAAATCAACCCCACGTGAAAGGCACGTGAAATATGCGCGTACCCAACTATCACGGATCATGGAACAGGCCACAAACCTACTGACAGACTTGGACAAAACGAAAAGTATTTAAACTGAAAAGCTTAAGTTATATACAAACCGGATTTGCATAATAAACGGTAATGTAATGCAACGATTCCGTTTTAGGGACTGTCTTTTAGCATAAACATCTTCCATGTTTTAATTTTAAAAAAGACAGAATTCATCTCTCCTAGTTTGAAAGAAAACGCAGAGAATACTTATATAACAAATGGCGTTCATTTACGAGACAAAATCTAACTTTCTCACTTTTTAGTAGGACAATCGTTATACGAAATTAATTTCTAACATTGCTTAAGTGATACCTAACGATTTAAGTGCTAAATAGATTACCGTTAACATCCATTACAAAGTCGTGCGCAATCAGGTCATTTAATGCACAAATGCAAAGCAACAGAGAACCAAAGAAAGTTCTCTGAATTTTGCTTTCAACGTTTTCCAATTCCAAAAGGGAGATACTAATTTTTCATAAATAGTTTAACATACCATGCACCAAAGTAGTCAGTCAAGGCCTCTTACGATACTTTAAAAAGTTGACGTTCAACACTGTTTAACAGATCTCGAGTGTTGATAAAAAGAAACAAAACAATTTACATCTTGAATGCTAAGTCTGTCCTTAATTATTCAAAGCCTGATTTAGAAGCAGTCTTCATTAAATTTAGAACTAAAACTTAGACGTCTGAAAATAAACCAGCTATAAATAATCTAAGAACAGATCTTTTACTTAGCGCGAACTCTTGGGAATTCTATCTCTTTTCCACTGAAAAGAAGGATTAACGTAGACTGCAAAACAGTCCGTATTTTTGTGTATTGAAGTACGCGCGAGCAGTCAAACAAAAGATATGGAACGAGGCTGAAAAGAGAGAGCGAGACTAGGGAGAGACGCTAAAAATACGGTTTTTTTTCTCTCGCCTCACACGCCCTACGGGCGTGAGGCTCGCGCGCTTCGTGCGCGTAAGACTCTTACGCCACGCTTTACCCATTTCGTTTCTGATTTTGAGAAAAAAACCGACTGTTTTGCAGTCTAGTTTCCTTTCAGAAAACAGATTTTTCTGCTTTTCAATTCTTGTGGTATTGATTTTCTCTTTGCTCCCTCTTCCTTTTTTTTATATAAGTCCTTAAAATAATCCAATGCTCAAGACACGTTAATCCTAGACTGCAAAACAGTCGGTTTTTTCCTCAAAATTAGAAAAGAAATCGGTAAAGCGTGGCGTAAGAGTCTTACGCGCGCGAAGCGCGCGAGCCTCACACCGCCCGTAGGGCGTGTGAGGCGATATCTTTTTCCAAAACGTAAACGAAAACAGGTTCGCTTGACTGAACAATGGTGTACTCCTTTTTTGACTTTTCATATCTAACACGGACTTGATAGTAGAAAATTTGTTACGATTTGAAGAAATAACAGAACAATTTTCAATGAAGAAGACATGTTTCTGCAAACTTATGCCATCTTCAGTTGTAGAAGCTCGTTACAATATTATTTCTTCAAATCATATCTAAAACCAATGACAAAACACTGGTTAGAAACAAGTAGGCCAAGCTCAATAGCTTTAGGCCCTATCCACACGAATCCGGTTATTTTTTTGAAACCGCATCCTTTTTTTGGCACGAATTAGCCTTTTTGTGCACACGAAACCAGTGAATCCGCCAACCGAAACTACCTCTTGTTCGCTGAAAACGCTCGCCAGACTGGTTGATGCCACACCGTTCACACGAATCCGGGTAAGAAAAGATGCGGTTTTAAAAATGTCAGGATTCGTGTGAACGTGCCCTCGGTAACAGCTAATCTTGAAAAGCATTTAAGAAATTCAATAGAACGAGCATTTTACTAACCTGTGGTCTGTTTAGCGTGCATTGCCTCCTGTTCCAACTGTCGATTTTGCCGAGTCAGTCTTAACAGCCTTTCTTCCAATGCCACTATCGTGACTGCGTGTTGCCGAGTTTGTTCCTGTAAGTATATAAACAAATGATGACGACAATGTAATCTCTGTAATATGTTGATAACTTTTCTATCTGAGTTTGTCGGGTAATCGTACGAGGTCGATTTAACAAAATCACTGAATTGCTTCACTGGGGTATTGAGTTAACTGGGTTTCACCTCTCCATTTGGGGGAGTCACGCGCAGCATCCCCGCTCGCTTCTGCCGACAGTAATATTGGACAGTTTATAAATCAGAATATATTGAGTTAACTCAGAGACACAAAAACCTTATGAAAATTACCAAATGGCCCTACATTTGTGTGGTGCAGAAACTTAGAGATTGACCAAGGAATTAACTGAAGCAGAAATTGTAGGTGTTTATTAACAAGTGCCTAAGGAAGATCTGACGGATTTTGTGGCCCAAAAGAATCCGAAATGAAGAGTTTTGGAGACAGGAAGGGCAGCGACCGATAGAGGAGGAGATAAAAAAACGAACATGGCGGTGGATTGGCAAAACGCTGCGGGGACGAGACAAACAAGTGGCAAAGACAACTCTTTAATGGATCCCACAGGGGAGTCCCAGACACACTTAGCGACAACCGGAAATACGTCTGCTGTTCGCAGGCTAAGACACACTTTGAAGCGCACAAGGATGTGAGGACATGAGGAGAGAGGACGTAATGGTTTGAATCAAAATAAAGTCAAATTGTAAGAATTAGTGGGGTTTAAAGGTTTAAAGGATTGTTTATAGTGGAAAGTGCACTTAGTTTATCCAGCTACTTTACAGGCACTCCACCCCATACTTAGAAACAAAGAATTCAAATACAACATACGATTATTAAAAATCCCAACAGGGAGGCAACCAGTTGGCTATTTACAAGCTTGGACGAGGATTTGAACTCGGAAGACCGAGAACAAATCCTTCAAGTGGCCAGAGCGTGACTCGAACCCGGGACCGCGGGATTGCGGGTCCGACGCGCTGACCACTCGGCCACGAAGAGGGCTGAACGAAGAGGACTGATGAAGATGATAAAAATCCTAAATGATCGACCGTTTACTGAGTATTAGCCAGTCACATTTTAACGATAATGTACTAAAGCTACCTTGAAAGAAGCGACCTCGTCTTCTTTATAATTCCGCAGTTCTTCTTTCTCACGTTCAACACGAGCCAGCTGTTCTTTGTAGGCTGCGGACTGTTCCTGAAGCTGACTTCGTAAGTACGCCTAAGGAGAAAGTTCGGTCATTTCGTTATTTAACAGCCTCTTATCGCGTCTAATAAACACATACAATAAAACCTTATCTTTCAGACCGCTCTTTGGTTTTCAATTGTGGAAGGTCCTCTTTGCCGAATTACAAATCGCAAATCTTTATAGACAACCGTAATAGGAAAATTTATGTTCACTGTTAGGCAAAAAGCAGCTGACAACGGTGCCCAGTACTGTAATTCTGAATGAACCTGGTATGAAAGTTTTTTTTTTTTCGTGCAGACATAAGAAACGGCAATCGAGTAGTAAAGACAAAACTTGACACGTTTGACAAAATGTCGTTTGCTGTTCGCGATTCTAACCTTTCTAATATCTATGCAACGAAGAGGTTTGGAGTACTATATTGTAATTGCAATTTGTTTACCCACGAAGCACTTAGGAGTTCTCATGGACTCGTTTAAACGTGTCCGTGCGTTCCAGATCGAATTGGAATTTGAAAGTGTTGGTTTTTAAGGAGAGGGGAAAAACGGAGAACCCGGAGAAAAACTTTTCGGAACAAAGGCGAAAACCAACAACAAACTCAACCCACATACGGCGTCGACGCCAGGATTTGAACCCGGGCCACATTGTTGGGAGGCGAGTGCTCTCACCACTGCGCCATCTTTGCTCTCTCTTGTCCGACATTTTTCCAGTAATTATTAGTCCACTAAAGTTCATCTACTTGAGCTGTAAGTGACCCAATTCTGTTTTCAATTTCCTTCGTTTTAAAGATGATTTGAAGTTTAATGTGCTTGTTATAAGAATATTAGACAGTAAGGGAAAACGGTATTTCAACTTGAGGATATGAATACGTGAGGTGCAGAAAGACTAACTTTGAAGAACGTACCTCAGTCTCCTTAGCTCTGTGAAATCCATCTTTAGCTTGTTTGTACTGGGACTTTGCTGTTGAGAAGGCAACTCTGTGATTCTTTAACTCGTTCTGTCGTTCATTAAGTACCTGCATAGAAAACTAAGTAACTTAGTTTACTGTATCCAACCCTGGCCCGCGAGAAGTCTCTTTCATTCGCACGCCGTGCGCGGCTCTTAGTAGCCTACTTAGCAAACCTACCAACTTTCTCAACGAATTCGCGCGGAAACGCTTACCACGGGCCGATCGCTTGTGGTCTACGTTACAGGCAGCCATCTTGGCTATAAATATACGGAGGGGGGGTCCCGGGGTTTACAGTGGTGAAAGCGTCTCTCGTCCCCTAAATAGCGGTTATTTTGCTGTTTGCTTAATTTGGTGGCAGCTCCCACTGTTGTTTTTAATTTGATGGCTTATTTCCAGTGACTGACATCTCCGCAAATAGGCCTTTTTCAAAAATATCATAGTCCTGGTTTTTGTCCGTCTAAACTTTTGCTTAAGCATTCCTTCAATTTCTCTTGGGGCGATTATAAGTCACAAGAGAAATTGAAAACAGTGCTTATGCAAAAAATTTGGAGGGACAACAACAAGGAGTATTATGGTATTTTTGAAGTTCATTACCTGTTGTAATTGGGTAACGCTACCATGTTGTGACTCCATGATCTTTCTCTCCGCATCCACTGCTGCTTGTATCCGCTCTCGCTCTTTTTGTTTAAATTCATGCATCATCTCATGCTGTTTTTCTTCTTCCTCAGATCACACTTGAGCCACTGCGCGGGAAATGTGTTTTTCTTCCTCTCTTTTCATGTCCTCTCGTAACTTTAACACGACTTCCTGGTGCGTCTCCTCCATTTCTGCAATCCTACACAATGAAGAGAAGAAAATTTATGTTATTTGTTTCACTTACAGAACTAGTCTTCCATCGACACAAAAACAACCAAAATTATTGAATTTATGTAGTTTTTCCAGCTTAGTGAGGAACTATAACAGTTTTCTGTATGGTTTGCCTAAGTCACAGATTGTCAAATTCCAATTAACAGTCAAGGTAACAAATAACTATTCTGCGCCCTGTGTTTGAGCCTCTAGATCAAACTGTTTACGTTTTTTTTCTGTTTTAGCTTAAATAACCCTAGCACTGGAATTAAGTAATCACAGTTTTCTTCTTCTCGAACGTACAGCTCACACGAACACTCCACTGGCAAAAAATAACGACGGTAAAGCAAAACTGTCCGCGGAAGCTTCTCATCATTTTCGACAATGGAGTACAGCACGTTAAAAACGATTCATAACCAAAAACCGTTTTTGCCTGAGCAGACGGAAAAGAAAACCGAAATTGATACCGCTACAAATCTGCAGAGAACCACGCCACGCTATTCGGTATCTTTTTAAAAAAGGCTAAAACTTTTTTCGCATCAATTGAATTGCAAAAACAATGGTCCAGTTTTGTTACATAAGACTATATTTAGGCATTCAAACTGTTTCCTGTCGTCTGTTGCAACGGATGGCGAGGATGGACAGGGATTGAAACTTGAAAAAGCTGGGCCAACTTTTTCAAGTTTTAATGCTATGCCTGCAAAAATCACCATGGAAAGTGATGCCTGATGAAAATTGTTTAAAATCTTTTTCTTTTGTGTTTGGGGTAAAGGCACTAAGTAATGGCTTCAGTACAGAATTGACCTAAAACAGAAATATCCTCGTGACTGGATAGTCCCTTTAAGAGTAAAAATGAGTGCACTGAGCTTGGAATTCTTACTTTCCCTTGAGTTTCCGACACTCTTCCTTCTGATCTCTTAACTGGTGACACATATCTTCCACACTGAAAGACGTCTCTGCCAAAATTAAAGCAAAAACAGATGAGTTGCTCGGTAGTTGTGATAAAAGTTTTCGGCCTTTTCTGCAAGTTGGAAATGTTAAGAAAAGACTCCAAAACCTCACGGTAATATTGCACGAAGATTTGCCGAAGGCGATATTTGATACCCCGAAGTTTATATTCACCAGAATCGGAATCCTCTGTGGCTCTCTTCAGAGCGTCTTCAGCCTTTTGCTGCCAAATAGCCTCGTTAGACAGCGTCTTACAAACAAAATCCTGAAAAAATAAAAATAAAAAGTCCACGCTACAATTCATTCCACAAAGCTATTTTTTTCGTATCTAATTAGAAAAAAAAGATGCCATTCTCTCGTACTGATAGCGAAGCTCCACGCGCGGCGCCTCATAGCTAAGGAAATGTGGTAATCTACCCATCCCAGAAAAGGTGACCGAGCGAGCGAGCGAGCGACCGTCCGTCCGCACCACAGACATACCAATGTAAAATAACTCAATCAACAGGTATGACAACCCAAATGCAACTCAAGGTTTTATTTGGAGGGAAATCACATGGCCGTCCGGACTTTTAGAAAGAAAAAATAACAACAAAGTCGTGTCTTTTTCGGCGTTATTTTTTAACAGAGAAAGAGATAGAGCGAGTTATTGAAAACAAAGGAGACGAATTTGGTAGGGAGAAAAACATGGAAATTCAAAGCGGCGGTGAGAAAATGAGAAATGCTAGCGCCCAGCAAGGAGCGTCCAGCAAGGTGAAAATGAGCGGCAGTGAAAAATAAAAGGGAACACGAACACCGGAAACAAAATATTGGGTAAGTACATACGACAATTCCTCCCTAAAAATAATGTGTAACTAGGAAGTTTGACGTTTTAGTCGTACAAAACAGCGTTGTAGTCGTGCAAAACTACGGCAAGGGAAAGACAAAAAAGTGTGCTGCACGTGCAAATTTGTTTTTTGCTAATTAGAAGAAAAAGTGTGCTGCACGTGCAATTTGTTTTTTGCTAATTAGATCTATAAGTCTTGAAGCCATTTTCATTGTCGACCCTGTTTAGCATTGCACGATTTAATTTTTTTCTGTTTATAAGTATTATTAACCAGAGCTTCGCTTTTCGCCCTGGCTAAATCTATATATTTCTGTCTGTTGATCTTCGGCTCATATTACAAATGTACTATTACTACGGCGCTTAACCAACGAAGCTGTAGAGGATCTGGTGATGAGCAAGGCGATTAAGACAAAACCCCATGCACGTTCAATATATTAAAATTCTAACCACAGGTAACCCAGGCTCTGTGATAGTACCACAGTACGGTTCCAGTAAAATTACAGTGTTTGTATGGGGTAAAAATATCATCCTAAAATTTCTCAACAAACTCGAAGAATATAATCCAAATAAGAGAAAGAAAGCTTGCAAACGTTGTCGTTGATGGTGACATACATGACTGTATAAGGCAGCTTAAACACCGATGACGGCGACGTCAACCAGACCGGCAAAAAAGCAGTAGGTTTTAATAGATTGGCAAAACAACAACTCTGCGCGTGCATCACGCTTTTTTTGTACATTTTTTACCGTCACTGCACGACTACGACGAAACGCCCTGATTTCACGTTTTGTGGAAGACGTGAGCACCAGAAAACGACTTTCTTTGTCTTTCTCTGAACTTTGATACTGTCTTTTAGAATTCAAATCTAAAACAATTTGCCAACATTTGACGAATTGAACGAGATGGAATAAGCGCGATAAAGTTTAAAGCCGCGAGAATTCACTTTTTAAGTATTTTTTTGGTAGCCGTCACCGTCGTTGTTGCTCCAACGGTTCAATAGACAGCTTACTTAAGCAAAGACATTTTTCAGCAATGTACGTTTTTGCCTCCTTAGCAATGGTCTCGCCCAAATTTTAGGGCAAATTGTCTCTATACGAGTTAAAACACTTAGCAATACAAATCTGGTGGCGTCAGGACATTAACAGGGAAACGGCCTGACTTCCGATTGACGTGCGTGGCTCGAAACGCCTCTACTGAAACCCCCTAATGAGTAGTCGACTGATTGTACAAGTGACTCTTCTGTGTTACTCTACATGCGAGCAAGCTTTTCAGTCGAGTTACATTGTTTGAAGCCACATGCAAACGACACACGACAGGAGACACGAGAGAGTAGGTTGAAGAAAGAAACGGGGGCTTTACTTTCCTCTGCTTCACACGTGCTCGTTTCGCTCGCCACACAAAATGGAAAGCTTGCTCGCATGCTTTTTTTTTTATAAAGTTTCGTATTAGACAGCTGTTGGCAGTTTAAAGGCGTCTATTCGAACTCAAATCACCACATATCAAAACCTACGTAGCAGGCGTCGAAAGGGGTAGGGGATATAGCGCCTGCCACGCAGGCTACACAGATCTTTGCATTAACTTTTAAGGTTTAACTTGAGAAAGGATTTTGCCTACACTAGGAGCGCTGTGTGACGACACTAAAACGAGAGAGGAGACTAGCATCCCGTGCATATCTCAGCCCCATTTTGCTTTAAATTCCGAATCCCGGCCCTCAAATAAGGCAAATCCTGAATCCCGAGATTCAAATAAGGCAAATCTCGGTTCCCGAGATTCAAATAACGCAAATCCCGGATCCCGAAAACACTATTGGGAAACCTCGATACAGCCGAACGTGTAACGCGGAAAAAGTAATCGTTTCCCGTCGTGGCCTGCGAACAAGCTCTCCATAGCCATTTGGTGGAGTCGCGAGTCCCTCGAGGCTGGCTTCGTTCGCTCCAGAAATGGAGAGCTTGCTAGTGGCTTTTCCACGTAGTTGAGGCCGCTTCTCGAAACTTCAAAACGAAGGGGGAGTGTTGAGGGTCAGCTGTCCTCGCAGGCTACGATTAAAATTATTTTTGAGATTAAGGCAACATTAGTTTCGTGTATTATATCTAACCTTTGTCGACATGGTGGAAATTGTTGAATCCTTTTCACGTAGTTCCTTCTTAAGTTTTTCAGTCTCTCTCTTCGCCTGATGCACTAAGGCGTCCTTTGCAGAGTTTTCTCTCTGTAACCCGTTCAACAGTGTCGTGGACTGCATTTTTTGCTTGTTTAGCTTTTCATTTTCGTTGGATAGTTGCGCAATTCTTCGCTCCTTCTCAGCGATGCGTAACGATGCAATCTTGTTTGTGGCTGCGTTTGGGTCCGTTTTAACCCAAGCGGAAGCCTTAAGCTGTAAATGATAACCAAAAATATCCAACTTCCATAAGCTTCTACAGTAAAATTCTATTTAAAATAGAACGTTTTCCAAGTTGTCGAGGAAAACTTGCTTCAGGAAATCAAAATACATAAACAAGCGCCTCAATAAACAGTTAAAGGTTAAGGTAA